TCCTTGTTTCCCCTTCCCATTCATTTCAATTATCCTCTCCTTCTCATCCTCCTCCCCATTAAACGCAATACTGACTCTTTATCCTCACAGTTCCTCCGCGCCAAAACGGACCTGCCCCCCCACACACCCCTCACATTCGACGGCTTCTCCTGCGCCGATATCCTCCCCGTGCACCCTCCGCGCGGAACCTCGTCTGCTACCACGTCGTCGCCCAATAGTAAAGCGAGGAGTAGGCGAGTGGGGATTGTGAAGAGTCCGACTATGCCTGGGGCGAATTCTCAAGCTGCGCCAAGGGAGGGAGAGGTTACGATGCGGGACGTGAGGGTCGAAGGAGGCGGGCTTGGGGTGATGTATGGGGAGGGGATGAGTGCGGAAGTCGTCGGCATGCCTGGTCCGATGCCGTTTGGGGCGTCGACGGATAATGTGGGGACTAGTGAGGGTGGATTCGGATTCGGGACGGCAGCGGGGGGGAGCAGCGAGGTTGTGGGGAACGTGTTTGGGGGAGGGAGCAGCGAGGCTGTGAGGACGGGGGAGGGGGAGGAGAGCTCGTTCTCGGGTGTGGGTGGGAATCACGGGAATTCCACCTCGAAGGATAACCTCATCGGCGTTAACAATACCCATTCCAATCCCGCGAATACCCATCCTACCACTGCTACTCCGAATGCCAATCCTATTCCGAACGAAACCATCCCGAACGACAAAGGAAGCGGCTATGGCGTAGATGAGCTCGGGCGTATCCGCCGCGTTTCGAGGCTTGGCTTGAAGGCGTTTGAGGAGGGGGAGAAGAGGAGGTTTAGTGCGGTGCTTTGAGCTGAGGGCGGTTTCGCGGGTAAGGAGGGGTGGGTGGATGGGTGAGGATGATGGGATGGGACGGGATGTAGGTGAAGGTGGGATGCGGGTGAGGATGGGGTGGATGGGTTTGGAACTTGGGTGACGGATGGCGGATGGCGGGCGGATAAGTCGTTGTAGTATGCTATTGTGAGTGCCTTTCTTTCTTTCTTTGTGTGGTATGATTAGATGGGCGTATGCTTATCGATTGGTTATTCTAGGTTGACGGCGTACGTGTATCCGATATCGCGGCCATACTATGTCGAATTCGATAGCCAAATCAAATCGCGGTTGGCCATATGTCGATATCGACGAGACAAGATAATCAAATCGCGCCGAGAGCTCAAGCTTGAGTATGGGCTTTGGATCGTGGATCGCGAAATACGGGATCTGGCCAAGGTCGATATCCCTATCCCTATTCCTTGTCTTGTTTGGAGATGAGGATTTGCGCTTGGGTTGCGTTTCGGACGAGGATGAGCGTGTCGGATACGTGGATGGTGAGTAATTCGGTTTCTTTCTTTCTTTCTTTGTGTTGTGTGTGGTTAGATGAGCATATGCTTATCGGTGGTTATGCAGGTATATCGCGGCTATACTATGTCGACATCGATAGCGTCTCAAACTCAAGCTTGAGTATGGCTGGATCGCGAAATACGGTTTCTCGTCCCTGTTGGCTTGGCTTGGTCCTTGGTCCTATCCCTATCCCAGTCATTCCCTATCCCAGTCCTTGTCGATCGTCCGTGCGTCCAAGCCGGTGTTGACCTTGCTGTGCGCATCCTTCCTTCCTTTTATTGTATTCCATGGTCCGTGGGCCGTGTCTCGCGTTTCGTCCCGTCCCGTTCCGTCGAGGGCCCCTATCTCCATCCTCGTCCTCAAGTCTGCCCTCTGCCCGCTATTCGCTATTCCTACGCTCCATCCTCACTACGATCCCTCCATCCCTCCATCGCATTCCATTAGATACATTCCCCCATTCCCTTCCTTCCTTTCCTTTCACGTCCCATACGCATACGTTCTCTCCCATCTCCATCCCGCTTTCGAACCTTTCATCATGCACTGAATATCCTTTCACCCCTTCCTTCTCATCCTTCTTTCTTTCTTAAATCTCATCCTTCTCGCGGACCCTACTCTCTACTGTATCTATGGCCTTCGTCCCTTCCTTCCTTCTTCCTATTCTCTTATTCATTCCATATGATTTGATTTGATTTGCTCCATCTTATACCCATCATCATCTATGCATTACCCTTTGTTACGCTGTTATTCGTACTATATCCCTCTTATCTTCTCTTGACGTTTATCCTCTCTTCTCTCGTTCTCTTCTTCCGTTTCTCGCCTGCTTTATTCATATCCTCTAACGTTTCACTCACGACGGCTACGATTATACCATTCCAAATCCAACGGACCATTCCCCCTGAATGTATGCACCTCTTTTACCTTTTCTTGCACTCGCTTTTACCCTTTCTTGCACTTGCTTGTCATAAAATTCTCTTCCGGATCCTGTTTCTTGTTATTCCTTCCTTGTTGTGATCCATTCATTATTATTGTAGTATTCGGTGTTTGTAATTCCATTGTTGTTGTTGTTGTTGTTGTTGTTGTTTTTCATTGATTGATATTAGACTCAAGTTTATTTTACATATTGATTTGATGTGGTGGATAAGTTCTCAACTTGGAGCTGGAATGCCGGTGTGAGAGATTATGATTAATTTATTAACTATGTTATTCAAATTCATTGGGAAATCTGGCAGTATTTGATTTCTGTTTGGATAGATGGATGAGTGCCAGGTGCATCAGTAAAACGTGCAATTTCTAGGTAGAACTATATAGTGTTCCTAGTCCGCGTAGCCTAGACGCCCGTTCTATGGAGACTATCCAACGTTACATTCGCTAAAAACGGTATATAGCACTACATAGCAGTGCACCAGCTACCCTTCATACTGCCTCCTAGCACGGGCGTCAAAGGGGTCTGTGTCAGCTTTCCTGATGTGGGTGTCTTCCTTAACCCATGTTTATCACGTCCTATTATCAGACTCTGAGTCCTGGTGTCCGATCTTGTTCATGATCTTGCCACTTAAGATGAGTTGTCAAATTGTACGTCCAATGTCGGTTTTATTTGTCTAATATTATTCTGCAGTGATTTTGCCTTGATGCAGATTGAATACCAGACGTCGATACTCTCAGCGCAGTGGCTCGGGATGGATCATGGGACGCTCAAGACCGGTTTTCTGATTGAATTCGAGCACAATTCTACCTGTATATCGATCCAGTTGTGGCGCCCTCCCAGTTTGCTTGTCAGTTTTATCATGACAATGCTTTGCAAGTCCCTTCAGTGAAGTAGTTTGGAATTCCAACATGTTATATGTGCAGATTCAGAATGGATGCCACTAGTCACTCCTTCTACCCAAATAGTCTGGCGTAAGACATCGTACTTTAGGATCTCGTATGTGATGCTTCCTTTTGCAAAATGTTATTTATGATCTAGATATCATTGGTGTGTACTAAATTCTAATGCTTCCGACTAACGACGATCTCGACAATGAACAGAGAAGAGCAAGAGTTACTGGGACGGACAGTACGCCTTGATACACGGTGGCACAGCGATCTTAGGCACGAAGTACAGCTCTGTGAACTGATGATACAGCTGAAACACCGCGACTTCACTTCCGATGCTGGTGGTTACTTACTACATCTACCTGGCTAGATAGACAGAATCTGAGCTTCTGGGATCAATGGATCCTAGCTAGTGTATGTTCGGATCCTTATCCGTCTTCCGACCTTCTGGGATCTGCATCACTTGAAAGACACTTGATTCGCTATTGGGTACAGAGAGTATCAGTCATCCACAAAATATGAGGGAACTAGTGGACTACTGCTACTAGTACAATTTACAGTGCGGAGTCATATGGGCACACATGTATGGGCAATTTAGCAATCAGCGTGGGTGTGTGGTTTTTCGTGCGGCTGGAGTTTCGTGTTTGCGTAGAATATTATGCTGAAAATTATTCAAATTCCTGCATCATTATATGTTACCGTGCTTCGACCCAACCGTGGTCTTAGCTCAGTCATGATATCAGGGGACTTGATCGCCCAAGATAGACTTTTTTTTCATTATTATTGAACTATATAAAATACATTTTATGTCCTCTTAACTCGTAGAGAGAATAAGCTTCAAATCATTAATTTATTATTAATTACGCGCTACCACCTCGATAGGGGGTTATCATTACCCGGGTCTAATGCAGAATTTAGGTGGCGGCTTCTATGGCGGCTGTACTATATCGGGGCCCCGTTCTTGGGAGCAGTAACAAGGTACGAATATATCCAAACTAGAATTGAGATATGCTGGTGAGATATAAATGAATTGTGTCCTCCTGATATGGAATCCGTTTCATCAGAAATTTCCTGTGTTGGGTTCAACGTTTCAGTGGTAGAAGGGCATTTCTCTCAAAGGATCTTATCATAACTAGTTTTTAGAGGCTAAGGTAGGGATTAGTACCTGCCCACTACATCGTTCACGGAATAAATGAGGGCCAGGCGAATGTTTTGGAGGCAATAAACCCAGTAATATCTACGACGTTTTAGACAAGGTCGATTCAAGAAAGTACATCGTTGCTTTGAAGTTTAGAGAGACAAGCAGAAAACTGGCTCTCAGCGCTTTTTGATACCGATCGATTCGTTCCAGGAGATTTAGAGAGCTCAACTGCGCAGATTAGGGTGGCCCCTCAGCGGTGATGAAACGGTGTTTAGAAGTGCAGCTATGATTGGAAATTTAAATGGACGAGAATAGGTGGAACCCGCCCTGACGTTCTGCAGGTCCAGATGCAATAAACAAGGTGTGCCTCATGTAGATCCTCGGTGCCAGCCTTCAAGCTTCAGATATTCGGGAGGTCTTTCTTGCGATTGAGCTCTGTATTTTCCATATATCAACTGCGTTTACTACGAGCCTCATTCATCTTGGATTAAATAATACATAAATAATCAATAAATAGCTTCGCTGGTTCTACTTTGAGACAGGGGAACCGGAAATGTCAATGGAGCGGCAATTCACAGAAAACCCAAAGCTCAATCGTGATGCGTATCTCTTCCTTACTGCACCTGTGATCTATGTGCCGGACGAACTTGTTGCATATCTAATCTCTTGGCAACTGATCGAAAGGAAAAAGGCACAGGATCACCCCAAATTCCACGACTGCCAGGAATCGAACCCCGAGCTGCTGTGTGAAAAACAGCGATGTTAGCCATTACACTATCGTGAATTTTTTGCTACGTAATTTTCCCCTTATCTACCAGCTCTCTCTCACAACATAAAACTCTGAAGAATTGCCTGTATTCATCCGACCACGGCCGTGCGATTCGAAGTTCTATGTCATGGGTCTCATCCGTTCGAGCCGTAGTGGAATTTTGTGTTGTCCAATCATCATCAGATTGTCGTACGCTGCCTCAGAGGTTCAGAACCATCCTTCCCGCCTGGGCGACGTCAGTAATGCCGGAGTTGCATAGACTTGGCAAGACTCACAGTGATCGCCAGAATGGCCACTTCCCAACTATCGCGGGATTATTTCACGGGACAATATCAATGCTATAAGACGTGAACTCACCTCTGTCCGACAGATTCCAAGGGAGATTCCTTTTGAAATCTTATAAAAAGAAGATTGGTGATATACATAACTGTATGATTTTTTAGGTAAGTGAATATTCTTTCAGAATGAGTATTAAATACTAACTGAGGATCCTACCCAATGAAGATATGAAGCTCAATGGCATTAAAGGGTCTTTAGTAACAATAATACTCACGCTACGCAATAGAAAGCTCCATCTCTGAAAATACAGGTCATTAAGACACTCAGCAGTCACGAAATGGCTTACCGAAAGAAAGTATTAAGTAAAGGGGTCATGACCGTTAATAATCCCACTGTTCGAAATCTCTTATACAAAATGTACAGAGTCAGCCCAAGATAAAAGGCTAGAAATAAAATAAGTATCTCCTACAGCCTTTTGGCCGCAATAGTTACCTTGTATCGGAACGAATGCAGCGCTTCGCAAGAACTAGCGGTCAGTGGTATGCTGTCAAGAATGAATCCAAATACTCACCCAGTATTTAAAACTAAAAAGTCGCGAAATCCGTTGTGCGGAAAGCATCCTGGTAGAATACTAGGTAGCGGATTTGGATCCTCAGCAGTGCTTTCAAAAGCATATCCTACCAATGCGAATACTGCCTATTCAAGCCCAGATGATTAGCAGGTCTGGTGACGGCAGATATGTAGACTGTACCGTAGTCTCGACTGAAATGAAATGATCATTACGGCTTAGTTGTGAAAATTCTCAATCGTTGAAGGAACTTACTTATCCACAGTAATACTAGGAGAGATCCAACTGTCACTGGTTAAGATTAACGACTAGCATTTTGCGATATAAACATCCAAGGAACGCACTCTTTTTACTTTGTCGATATAACGCATATATGCGCAAAAGGGGGACAATATCTGCAGCAGGAGCAACAACTGCAGCTCCCTAGTAATAGACACATAAATGGAAGCAGGTATATATGACCAACTATGTGCTCACCAGATGTTGAATGGATAGAATCGTGAACAACTGGCGCGATTGAATAAATACAATTGGTCGGTTTAATACTGGCTGCCACTCACACCTACCACCAGTGTGAAGTCAGAAGAATACGTAGACAGAAATGATTAAGGACATCCGCTTCCCGTTAAATTTGTATTAATCACGTCTTTCCTGGAACGTCAGATTGATGTGCCGGGGTAGAATGAGCTCAACGTATGTACCATAGAAGTTTACCAATAGGTAGCCCAATGCATAATATCGAACAAATATGTAAACAAATTTTATAGTGGGCCACCTTTCTCTTGAAATAATAGGATTAGATGGGTAATTTGAAGTGGTGGATTTTCTCACCGCCATATCAAGTCTATTTCGTCTCCAAATGTCAAGCAAATATCGTAAACTAGCAACCCTGTAGCGGCAACTGTGAAGAAATCGTAAGCAATGGTATTTTTATTATACAATTAGACACACCAGAATTGAAGCTCGTTGTTCGATAATCCCGAAAAGTGTCAATAAATTGCTGAAGAAGATCACCAAAGTCCGACATTGCAGATGGAGTATTTGATCTTTCTATTGAGATAAAGGGAGTGCGAAGCTAATGGGCGACGTTGAGCGTAAGAAACTTTGAATCTGTCTTATCCAAGGTATATGTAGCTCAGGTAAATGGGCTAATTATAACTGTGCGCCCACTGGCAGGGGGTTGACTTAGAAGCTTCTGTTTGACGGGAAACCTTGATATTCGTATAAGTATGTAGGAGATCATAGAAATGATAACAGGAGCATACTAAAATACTCTATGATGCTTATTCGAGGAAATAGTGGAAACGCGAGAAGCCAGCTCTGTCTGGTGATAGGGGATTTACGAACTGCTTAACTGGAGAGAACTCAGTCCCACAGCGCCCCACCTAGTAAGTATCTATTAAAGAAGCATCGCACCGCAGTAGCCCACCGAAACAGCGACCTTGGGAGTTACCAAAGATTACCGTAACCATCATTGTATGGTTGACAAAGAGAACACAGCTAGTTTATGTCTCTCGGGCCTTATCGAATAAGCTGAAAGCACCGGTGCATGTGTGAATTCCCCGCTTACTGATGTTCTTAAACCTACAGCTTTAAGAATGTCACTCTCAGTTAGAAATTAGCGATCGTATAATCAGCAGGTGGAGCATAAGTGAAAGTTTTGCCTTTCCATACTCGGAAGTGTGTGGCTACATATCAAACTATCATGATGACTTGATGACTTGGCCAATTCTTTATCCATACTTCAAGTTAATCACCAAATATAGCATTAAGGTCTAGGTGAGTGGAAAGAGCGAAGGAATTTCGAAAGCTTGACTTTTGTTCTGTATGATGCGAAGGAATGTCCCGTTTATCCCATTGGGAGTGGCAGGCTTCCGATGATGTGGGAGATGTAGAAGGATGTAGATCGCTGGTAAATCAGGCCTGAGTGTCCCTTTTGGTCACATTGCCAAAATCGAGGCTTCCTTGAAGTTTAAACCTATCTATCATATATACATTTACATGATAAGAGCCATTCCGTGCGCAAGCAGTTTTCGCTCCATTTTGAAATAGTGGGTTTATTGAAGGCACACTGATTCTCTCCGCCCCCAGTTTGGTAAACATTAATAGCTTTCCGAGCGGCGGTATAGTTGCGAATATCTATCGACACTGAAAGTAAATCCACCCAAGGAACTTTATCTCCTTAACAAGACAACCAATAACATTCTCAATAAAATTATCAAGATTGCAATGTTCCTCCATCCATCATCGCTTTTCCCTAATCTTAAATTAGATTGGAAGGCTGAATTATGTAACACAAGTATGCTGTTATTCCTACTATATCCCTCTTATCTTCTCTGACGTTTATCTTCTTCTCTCGTCCCTTCTTCCGTTCCCCTTTCCCGCCAGCTTTATTCATATCCTCTAACGTTTCACTCACGACAGCCACGACTATACCATTCCAAATCCAACGGACCATTCCCGCTAGATGTATGCACTTCTTTTACCCCCTCTTGCACTCGTATTTCAGTGTAAAATTCTCTTCCGGATCCTGTTTTCTTGTTATTCCTTGTTGTGATCCATTCATTACTATTGTAGCATTTGGTGTTTGTAATTCCATGATCAATGTTGTTGTTGTTCATTGATTGATATTAGACTCAAGTTTATTTTGCATATTGATCGGATGTGTTGGATAAGTCCTCGACTTGGAGCTAGAATGCCGGTGTGAGAGATTATGATTAATTTATTAACTATATTGTTCAAATTCATTGGGAAATCTGGTGGTATACGGAGCCCGACGGGCGCCAGCTTAAGTCAATGGGTATTGGGTATTGGGTAATGTACGGAGCCCGACGGGCGCCAGCTTAATTCAATGGGTATTGGGTTTTGATCAATGGGTAATGGCTTTTGATCAATGGGTATTGGGTTTTCGAAATGGGTTTTGGTCATTGATAATGGTTTTTTTGAAAGTTTTGCTTTGAGATTGGAGCTATGTCAGGGGTTGTATACAGTGGATGAGTGTCGCCAGGTTAAAATACTGTTCCCACATCCCTGATCCATAAACCTGATCCGTAGTTCTCAGTTCTCAAGTTCAAATTCCATTTCCTTAAGCCTCATGATACCTAAGAATGACAATTGTATCATTTATTACAGTGTGTATATGACTTCTACTTTACATAATGGGTTTGTATATGCATATAGTAAGCTTACGGAGCCCGATGGGCACCAGCTTAAGTCAATGGGTATTGGGTATTGGGTAATGGGTAATGAACAATGGGTAATGGGTAATGGGTTTTGAGTTCTGACCTTAGGCTCTTATTGTCTTGTTTATGGATTGATAATACGTCCTAGAGCTTAGGAAGCTACACTATGACCTTTGCAAAGCCAATTCCATAGGTACCCAGAGAAGGGATACCTTTCGGAAGCGCATACAGGGAGGGCTGCCGGAGGTAAATTTAGAAGCGTAATATTGGCTGGTTCGGTTAAATGACGGAGCCCAACGGGCGCCAGCTTAAAACATTGGGTATTGGGTATTGTCCATTGGGTTTTTGGTATTAGGTAATAGGTATTGGGTATTGGGTGATAAATTTCTATGAGTTTTTCCCCTGATATCTGTACTGATATGCATGTGTCTGGCTCTATAATGGAGATGTAATCATTATCACTTATTTTCTTGTCAAAATTGCATGGTTCTCGACCATTGGATAAACCGTCAATGGAGGGAAAGTGGGCTAATAATAACGTATCCAGATCTTTGCCCTGGCTAAAGTGATCAGTGGCACTATCACTTTATCAACTTTTATAATGCAAATTCTTTCCTAAAGCACTTATGTGCAAGAGCTCCCCGCAGTAAACATTAGCTGGTTCCTTAACGAGTTCTAAGCGAGCTGTTGGGAAGGGGATGCATATACACACCTGGAATATATTCGGCCAAAATAAATAAATAAATAAAAATCTCTGGTAGTACTTGCAAGATCCATATAGTGAGCAGCCAACCGTGCGATTCCCTGGTATCAAAGATGTACATGTTCTCGAAGAAGAAGTCTATAGTGGAGTTCATTTTACTTGTTGAACTCAAGGTGCATATATGCACCCCCCTTTCCCAACAACTCACTTAGGACTTGTTAAGGAACCAGCTAACATCTACTGCAGGATCTCTGGCACATAAATGCTTTGGGAAAGATCAAAT